AACAATATCCTTTTCAAATGCTTTATTGTGTGTTCAGTTAAATGCAGCTCATGAATCAGAATGCAAAGTACAAAATGAAAGTCGTATAAGCCCATTGTATTTGGATTATTGTAAGACTCTAAAGGATTTTTCAGTATCCCCGTGAGGAGGGGAAACCACATTTACTTATATTGTTCTTCCCAATCCTTGTTGTTCAAGCCCCTTCGGGCACAGGTTCCCAGTGCTGTTGCAGAAGGGACCACACACCTGTTCTAGACCAGCTTGCAAACTTAATTGACTCAATTAACAATATAATTAACCTGAACTGTTTTAAGCTCTTAAACATGTTGGAGGTTGCATTTCAAAAATAAAATCCCAATCTTTGCTTTTTGTGAATTCCTTAATAAAGTGATTATTTAGGTTTTTGGTAAAGAGTACCATATTGTACTATGCCAAGATGACACACAATAACAAAGCTCCAGGTGAGTGTACTATGTCTCACAGAACTAACTGGTCTCCTGCAACATGCTCTGTCTGGATAAAATGGATTGGAGGAATGCCCTGTTAGGTGGTTTAAAGAGAAGTATGAGGGGGTAGAGATTTGAAGCTAAGTGAAGCCATACCCATTATCTGTTTAAAGGAACTGGGTTGTCTGGCCTGGTTAGTTCAGCAAAAAGCAGTTAATGGTTATACAGTATGTGAGTAGTTTGGTGTTGCCTGTTGCGTTATTTCTTGACGTGCCACACGGTGTGATTTTTATGGAACTCTGCCACCCAGCTCTCCGAGGCCAGAACTCCATTCCTCGAGTGGAACTGCATTGCCAGGCTGGGACTCATGGGAGAGGGGATGTACTCATTGCACTCGCGGCCACCCAGGCTGGGGGCGCACTCCGCTGTATAGGAGAAAAAGAAGGTGCCATGCTTAAAATAGCACACATTCTTCACAGTTCCTTGCTGGAGAGGAAAAGAGCACTTTCCCAGCAGGTCACTGTTCCACACGTGGTCTGCATCATAGACTTCGAACTTCAGCTGCGTGGCCATACTTATTGTGATGCTTCCAAACTCCAAGGTTTCATGCCAGATTGGATTGTCATTATTATTAATTACTCCAGTCTGTCTAATTATTTCACCATATGAAACCCGAACCGACCCATCTGTTTTACCGAGTAGATCTCCATACAGCCCCTGTGCCTTCAGGTCAAAGACCCGGAGCTGAGCCAGACCCTTCCTAGCGGGACAGCAGTTGGACTTGATGTCTTGATTGCTGTTGCAGACACAAGCGCAGCAGTCCCTGACACTCGCCCTCGCCCCCATCCGGCATGGCTCCGAACACTTCTTCAACAGGGCATTCTCCAGGATGTAGTCTTGCAGGGCTTGCTGTAAGCCTTGCCTCGCCGGGTTTTTTATCGGCACCAACTCATGCAGGGGTTTCAGTGAGTAGGACACCACGTCGGGGAGGGTTTTCAGGGTTTGGATCCACTGGTTATAAATCTTGGAATTTGAGGCGCCGGAGAAAAGGAGGTCTGTTTGCTGAAACAGTCCTCCAGTGACCTCAGAGTGGCGGTCGCTGAACATGCTGCTGAAGTTCTGGGCTGAGTGCATGCTCCTCTTCAGACTTTCACAACGCTGGAACTCAACCTTCATCGAGGGAGCCATTCCAATATTGGCAGAGGCCTCCACATCGAGGCAGTCCTTCACCGCCGTGTCCGTCAGCCCATTCAAGGTGGCTTGGCAGGACTTGATGGAGGTGATGCTCTTCACCTTGCCTCCCAGACTGACCTGGGTGATGAAGTGAGTGCCATAAGTCTGGATCATATAGTAATACTGGTGTTTAGTACTAGAAGTGTATTTTTTAGGGAGCATCTTCACAGAGACTTGAAATTCCTTGTGAAGTGGGGGCTTGGTAACTAACCTGTACCTGGAAACAGAAAAAAAACATAATTCCATGAAGAACATACGACCATACAAGAACATACAAGTGTTCGTAGTTCACTAGCTAATTACTCATATCAATAGCTCGTAGCTACAGATAATTAACAGAAGGTAATGTTATCCCCTTTGAAATGTGCAGAGTGTAGACTTCTGCTGCATCAGAAGACCCCATGGTTTGGTGTAGTGGGGTTTGTGATCTGTCTAGAGAGTGGCGTTGAGGTTATAAGCCACTGTGACTAACTCCTGGCAGGGACAGAGCAGATCTAGGATCTTCACACTGGCCTGGGCAACAGGTTTTCATAGCCTTCCAGTATCTAATGGAACTAGTGTTCCCACTCAGGGGTAGTCCTGTCATGAGCAACTCTTATTTCAGTTGTTCTGTTAGATCCTAATGAATGCAACAGAGGGACAAAATGTGTGGAGAGTGAGTTGCCTAGCTGAGGAATGGCGACATAGCTGTGAGGTTAGGATGCCCAAACCCCCATCACTAGTGAGAGGAATGACCTACAGTAGGGAGCTATTACAAGGGTGTAGATGAGGAGGCAGGAGAAGTGCAAGAGAGATACACAAAGGTAAGTCCTGGGTGCATGATATACAGTATATATGAAGTGGAACAGGAATGTGTTAGATGAAGATTTAATCTTCTTCCTTCATATTAACCTAGAGCAGGGCAACCAGACAAATAGTAAAAGCACAGGACCTTTTTAGTCCTGTGCAGAGAAGACTATTAGGAGTCAGAAATACCTGATCTCAAAAGCATAGATAAAGTCTACCCTAGTGGGCTTCTTCGGATTCAGCAGTGAAACACAAACTAGAGGGCCCAAGTGGAAACAAATTGGAAGTGCATTTGAAACCAGGAGAAGGCGCCACTTCTTAAATTCCAAATGTATAGGGCTGTAGGAATATGAAACAAGCTATCTGGCAATGTTGAAACTGATACTCCAGCTTCCTTCATGACATGGCTGGCTGACATCCTGAGATCTATTTGTTGTGTAATTAGTGGAGTAAAAATAATTAATCAGGAGTAAAGTAGAACATAACCTTTACTGAAAAATGTGCTGATGATGTAATGTATAATAATAATAATAGCAATACCAATATCAATAAGAAGACTGTTACCTGTAGAAGCTGCAGCTGACCTCATGGCTGGTGAAACTGTATCTATCTTCCTTTGACTTCTTCATAGCAAAGTTGGCATCCCGGGAGTGAGTCCCCCCAAAAGCTGCCCCTACTCGAAACTTGGGGTTGCAATTTAGATCCAGGCCAGTTTTCCAGTTGTTTTCCACACTGGAGGTGCTGTCGTTCACAAGGGATTCACTGGACTCATAGATGGTGCTGGAGAGCTTCATCTTACAGCTGGAAATGGTTCTCCAGTCCACCATGGCCAAGGGGATCTTCTGCATCTTCCCGTTTAAGTATTGGTTCCTTCTCAATTCACAAGTGCCATCTGCCTTCTTCCAGTCTTCCATGTTGATCACATAGGCACCTTTGCGCTGCATTTTCACTATGTCAAAACCTTCACCTGCCAGGTTGTAACCGGGCACAAATTCAACCTTCTGGCACTGGACCGGTGTGCCAGTGTACCCAGCTCCAAGGATACCAGGACAAGATAGGACAGGAAGTGCCCAGCACAGGAAGACAAAAAGCCCTGGTCTCTCCATCGCCAAGGACTACAGAACAACACTGCCAATCTGGAATGCAGAAACAGTGAATAGAATTTCTACAATTATGTAGCTGTCATGTCTAAAAACAAGCCTTTTTTTCAAATCTCACATACCCCAGAGTGCCAGAACTTTTTTTTTTTTACATAGACTTGCAGATCTTTTATTTTATCTGAATCCATAAAGAAAGACTTTCAGTAACAAGCGGAACCTAAAGGACTAAGATAATTTTTTAATCAATCTCAAAGTAAATCTAAATTCTAATGGCCTAATATACATATTTGACACAACACTATCTTTTGTTACACACGCATAACTGTAAACAACAGAACAAATAACATAGCATGTGAATATTATACAGATGATTTCCTTTGCAATTTAGAAAAAGATAAATATAGGTATTAAAGTTAAGCATAATTGAGAACTTTCTATATTTCTATATTTTCAAATGCCTGAACATTGAATGAAGTACAATACTAGTTCCATTTTATTGAAAATAATCTCAGGTTTTATTTCTTCTGTATTAAGTTTTCCTTAAAGTGCAGATTTTTCTAAGAACACACTAATTAATGTGATTCTAAAGTCCATTTCATCTGATTTGGTTATTTCATTTTGGGAACAAGATACAAGGAAAGTGCATACAAGGAACCTCAGTAAGGACCATAATAGTTATAGTATCTATCGTAGTTCAAAGGGGATATGACTCTACACAGCTTATATATACGTTTCTCTACACCTTACCCCTCCTGTCTTTGAGGTAACTTTCTCACATACTCCAGGACTCAGACAGCACTTAAACCTTCCTTTCTCATCAGCAGTTTAGTTTAAACATTCACCATTTGGGTAAATATTCACCATTTGGGGTTTAGCACAGGGGAGCATCTGTGCTTAAGCAAGTATGATGGTCAGAGTTTAGCATGTGGACTCAGCAGGAGTTCACAGCTGCTACCACTACATGGGTATAAAGTAACACACAGATTCTGCTAGCAGTCTCCCTCACCAGGAATAAACCTGAGTGCCTATGTCTTTAACAGGAAGCTTTGTCCTGACACTTGACTTCTTTCAAGATCTCCAGCTCCAAAAGCTTCTAAATAGGAAAAATAATAGATGAACAGAATGACTCCTCTCATTTGGAATATCTGTTGTGTTGTTATGCAATGGGGGAAAAAAACACATTATTTTGAGTAGATTTTAAA